ATGAAAGAGAGGTTAAAAGACACGGAGGGCTGAGTAAGAAGTTCTAAATATATGTAATTGGTATTACAGAGAGATAGGGGAGAGAGAGTAGAGAGAAGTAATGTTATTTAAAGAGGTAATAACTAAGAATATTCCAAAACTGATAAACCAATGCCCAGATTCAAAGAATCCTGGTAAACTTCAATCAAAATATTTGAAAAAGAATGGTATAATCCCTGCCATTACGAATATTATAGAGTAATGGAGAAAGCAATCATTAAGTAAGAGTGAGAGACACAGGAGATCAGTGAACATTCAATCAAGCACAAGTTGTTAAGGTTTTATAATAGTTTGTCTTTGGTGTGCTCAAAACAAATTATTATCCAATTTTTAGTTATACTGCTATTAAAATATTAGTTGCAGCTTCATCAATTTTAAACTACTAAGAGATGAGGTTTGATATTATAGAAATTGTAATATTGCATACTTAATAACAAGACATTAATGAATAAAAATTATTATTTAAGCAGAAATTGAATTTATAAAATCAAGCTTTCACTAAGTAGTACTGTACTATCATGAAATATGCTAATCAGTTAAGTTTATGTTATATTACATGTGATCACAATTACTGTGTCAAAATCTTTCATATGGCATAAAATGCTTCCTAATTTTAACCTCTGAATAAATAGTAATATGCAGAATGAACATTACTGGCATAAATTATTAGTGAGGGTAAATGGAAAACGCTTTTTTCTTGAAAACATATGAGACTAAATCATCAAACCTTGATTGCTACTTTTCCTTACTCAAATTTTGGCTAATTATTTAGTCAATGTATTCTGATTCCTTATGACTCAAATAAAATTGCATTCGCTTCTCATAACTTTTGTTTCATCTTACTTACTTTACTTGATGTTAGTGTGCCCAGGATGTATTACGGGGATAGTAGGTAATAAGGACAGGTAGATATTCTAGTTTTATTCTTAGTCCTGAATAAATACTCTATTTTCATTATTTATAACAAAATAATGTCCTTTGCTCCTCTTCAATGGACACTGGCTCTCACCACTGTTGAGGGGGTAACCCAGCAGTTGTGCTTGTATTTTCTAATCATGATAATACAGCTGATTAGACCAAATTGTCCCTATCAGATTATTTTACTCCAGAATTTGAGTATAACATGTTTCAATTCCATTCCAGTTCAGTTCTAACCCTCTTGTTTTGGCCATGTTCCTGTCATTTGGACATGTTGATAGCAATTTTCCTAGAATATTATTTGCCAGATAATTTCTGTCTGGCATTAAGTTTTAGTCTCTTTCCATTCCTGAATTGTTTCGGACAGGCAACACAGTTCTAATTTTGCCCTGTAGGACCCCACATCCAAATCATGACTCCACTTGCCTGGGCCACCTGTCTCCTCCATATCTTTTGAGAGACTGTGCTAATAGAAGCAATTGTGAATGTAAATGATCTGTTATCCCAGTGTAAGCGAAGGGCAACTAATTTTGATAATAGAAATGTATATAACAAAATCTTTAATGTACATGTGTTCTTTGATCCAGTAGTTGGTATTTATTTTTATGTTAAAAACATTAAGCAGGCCAGACATGGTGGTATACACCTGTAATCCCAGCACTTTGGGAGGCCAAGGCAGGTGGATCACTTGAGGTCAGGAGTTCGAGACCAGCCTGACCAACATGATGAATACCTATCTCTACTAAAAATACAAAAAAAGAAAAAAAAAATAGCTAGGCGTGGTGGCATGCACCTGTAGTCCCAGTTACTCGGAAAGCTGAGGCAGGAAAATTGCTTGAACCTGGGAGGTGAAGGCTGCAGTGAGATGAGATCACACCACTACACTCCAGCCTGGGAAACAGAGTGAGATTCTGCCTCAGAATAAATAAATAAATAAAAATAAAAAAAAAAACATTATGCAGATACATAAACACTGACAATTCAATCATAAATTATAACCTCTTTACATAGTTGATTTGTGTCATTAGAAAATATATTTATATTAGTATTGAGAGTGTCTATTTTTTGTTTTCCTAATTTTTAATGTATTTTTAAATTTCATTTTTATTTTTGTTATTTTTCAAAATATAAAAACATTATTTGAATGTATGGCCAATGTTTTGAAGTGTAAACAGAACCTTTGCTCCTCTTCAACGGACACTGGCTCTCTCCACTGATGACGGGGTGACCCAGCAGTTGTGCTTGTATTTTTTACTCAAGATAATACAGCTGATTAGACCAAATTGTCCCTATCAGATTATTTTACTCCAGAATTTGAACTGAGCTACACAGGCACTGAGTCTTGTTATTTCATCACATAAATAAATTCCATAGCTTAATTCCTAACATTTCTGAGTTCATGTAGTTTTCAGTTTTGTTTTGTTTTTGTTTCTTAGGGGCAGGGTCCTACCTCTGTCCCCACTTGTGAGTAACAGTGGCAGGATCACAGCTCACTGCAGCCTCAAACTCCTGGGCTCGAGGTATCCTGCTTCAGCTTCTCAAGTAGCTGGACTGCAAGTGCCTGCAACCAAGTCCAACTAAATAAAAAAAATTTTTTTTTAGTGATGGGGTCTCAGTAAGTTGCTCAGGCTTGTCTCAAACTTCTGGCTTCCAGCAATCCTTCCTGGCCTCCCAAAACGTTAAGATTATAGGCCTGAGCCCTGCACCCAGCCCGAGGTCAGGAGTTTTAATGCTTCATCGCAATTGAATGAGACATCTTCAATCCTTTCCCTAATTTTTTTCTGTGTTTCAACTACTTTCAAGGTGTTCCTGCTCTTATTCAAAGGATTCATGGCTAATATATTGACTTTCAGAAAGCAAAACATGATTTTCAGTAAGATACTCACGAAGTTCAATACAATTACTACACAGTATACCAGAATCTTGAAGGAGAAATGCAATGATCGGTATGAAGAAAACTTAACAAAACAAACATTATAGAATTATAGACATTTTTCTCCTGAGGTACAGATTCAGTTGTCTGGAATGGATTGGATTTTCAGATACACCTTAGGATGATCTCTGTATATAGTTTTTATGAAAACGTTCTATAAACTGGTTGTAGACAGGCTGACTTAAGTAGTAGGCATGATAGCTTTTAAAACCGTTTCATTTTTCCATTTATCTGGAATTTCATGTATAGTTTACTTTGGAAATAAAACTAGTTTCAAGCAGCAAGTGCACTGACAATTTAAAACTGATATACTTCAATTATTAGTTTATATCTTATTATTCTACATCTTAAGAAGTGATTTAGAAATTGTTGCTGATTAATAAAAGAAATTTCACCAAATTTCAAGTTATTAAGAGAATAAGGTATTCCACAGGAGTAAATTTTCCAGGTAAAGGATACTCAATTAATTTCTAATATATTAACTGTTCACTGATGGAGGAAATAAAAAAACATTAAACATACTCATATCCCTGATTTTCTAAACCAAGAAAATTGGATATAATTCCACAGTTTCTCAAGGGATATCTGAGGTATTTATTAATCTTCTAACCACTTCTATCTGTTTTTCAATTTCTCTATTTTCCTATCTGCATCTGAAAACTTCCCAGAGATAATACTGATGATAGACTTGAGAATATAAAAACTTCTCAATTTGGCAATGCAACCGTCTTTACAGTATAGTGTTAAGATCTGAGCCTTATTGTTTTATCAGTAGTTTCCTTGGCTTTCCATTTTAAAGATCAGTCAAAACACCATAGAAAACCCTCTGAAAACTCAGTTTCTCTCTTTTGAATCTTACAGAGAAAAGGTGAAATGAATGCTTCCATTTAAAGCATGCTTTCATTTAAATGATTTTGAGAAAGCCTGGACTACAAATTGACTAATATCAGGGAAACTAGTTGAATGCTGTTGATGTGTTTAGCATTTTGCTGGCTACAATTTTACTGAGATGAAAATTTCAAGCTCTTAATACTTATCTTATTATTTAAATTGATCATATTTTACGCAGGAAAATAGCACAAACATATTACCATAAGTAATTTTAAAATATTTGATTAAAAGCATAGGCTGAAGATGACAATTATATCTATATCTATTATCTACAGCTATATACACATTCACAGTTCATAACTAATTACAGCCTGTAGGGTACAAATAGTAAGGCAGCAACTTAAATTAATTAGATTAATAAATTAATAAAAATTAATAAAATAATGAGTACTTTGTTACATAAGATTTAATATTGTCAGTTATACTCACTATATTATGTAAAAACTGATGGAATATTCGTTTAATTTTGTGCCTATAGGCTAGCAAGCAGAAGTCTTTAAAAAAGAAAGAGACTAGGAAGAGACTATGAAAGCAGATAAACATAGCTGTACAGTAAAATTACTTGGAGAGCTTTTAATTTTTTTTCATAGAACCTTCTCACTCAAGATTCTGATTTACTCATTTTTTAAAAACTTCTAAGTTAATTTAAAAATTTGGCTAGGGTTGACCACTATTATATGAAAAAAGATTGATAAAAATTGTCTTGTTTCTATACCTTTGACATTTAAAATATTTTAGTACTATTAACAAAATAACAATAATCAAAATAGAAACTATTTTAAATAATATTGCATTGAATTTAGAAAATAGGGCAAACAAGAAAACTACATGATATGGGGTCTTACAGAGAGAATGGTGAACTTCAATCTACCTTATATAAAATAAAATATTATTAATTTAATAGTTCCATGTAAATGTGACACTTTTGTAATAGCAGGTAGCCAATTTTCTGGGTGAGCTTATATTTTCCATAGGACCACTTTGTTAAAATATTGAAGAGATCTACATTAGCAATACAATACTCCCCCCATATTTTAGGGTATTTTTGTGCTTTTCCTGTTACCCTACAGCTTTATATTTTAAAGAGAAGTTTAGGAAACTAACAACTTTTAAAACTGCTATTACAAAATAGCATTTTATATCCCAATGTATAAAAGCCACATTCACAATAAATTCAATTCTTGTAAGCAAAGTTGTAATAGAGTATAAAAAAACACAATTTTCAGATCAAATATATTTAAATTATTTTAATAAGTACAAAAAATATGTTTAGCATTAATTTGCATGTGATTAGTTAGGAATTTTTTAAACAGCAAGCATGACATATTCAATGAAGGTCATATGAGAAACTAGTGGCTCTTCCCAATTACAACAAGGTCATAGTTACAAATGTTGTTAGTCCTTGAGTTATTTTCTTGAACCAGGAAAACTACCATATAAGTATACTGTCACCCAGAAAATTTCAAATTTCATATAATGTGAATATCAAAGTTTAGTGTTGGAGCTTCCTCACATTCTCTACGCATGTGACTGCATTATTAATTTGCAGCAAGGGGAAATTTTTTCATTCCTTTTATTTTCTGTTCAAATTTAGCAATAAATACGACATTTTTAAAAGTTTTCACCCACATCATGTCTACTGGAAACATTTCATGAAAGGTGATGTTTCTCAATTTGAAGGACACCAAAACCTGAATTTGTATCTGCTCAGGAAAATCTTGAAAATGATTAGGACACCAACAATCTTAAAATCAAGTGTAGTGCAAGCACCCAAGGTTAACAAGCAATCAGGACTTATCTGTGGATGGCAAAGTTTAAATCATGAAAATTTTCGCTCAATAATTGAGTTTTATGTCTTTCTAATTGTACACTACACGTTTTTACATATTATGCTAAATGCAAAGCACAGCCAATTGTTTCAACATAGTCGTTAAAAATAAATTGTGAACAATCTATAACTAATATTTCTAAAGTAATTCTGCAATTTCCTACTTGCTTTCTTAGCATCAGTGTTTTTAAAAATAAACTTTGTTGGAAATATTCATATATAGCCAATAATATAGATTTGTATTTTGGCATCATGTTATGGTGAATTCTTCTAAAAAGAAGCATGGAAAACTGACATTTTCAAACCTAGTAAGTTAATTCCACACTTAACAGTCCCACCAATTGCATCTATTGGGATCAATTCAGGCCTCATTCTTTTAATAGTAATTTACAACAAAATGTTTGATGAAATCAATAGATAATCCTTGTAGTCCAATCCTTGAAGTCCAACAATACGGCAAATAAAAACAAATTTCTCTAACAACAAATAAAACCGACAAAACAAGAAAAAAAAATGAAGGCAGTGCTTACTTTTGCTTAATCAATATTAACCATTTTTAATACATGATCATTACTTGTGAACTAAAAAAGAAAACTGCAATATATTCTCAGAAACTAAATTGTAACAAAGTTAGCAAATAGCTAGCATCACTAAAATGGGTACTTGCTTTCTGTATAGTACAGTTTTCTTGTCTACTGTTTGTTTTTACTTGTTGTTTGCTTGTTTGTTTTGTTGCATAGAAAAGCATCTATTGGCTTCCTTACTGTATGGATATTCCCCAAAAGGCATAAATATAAATATGAATTAAAGAAAAACACAGATTTTTTCTTTTTTCTTTTTTTTTTTTTTTTTACTTTTCTTATAATATATGTAAACTGGTATGTTGATGTACTATATAGAAATTCTAGATTTCCAGAACTTCAAGAATCACACAGTGATTATGGCTGTTGTGAGGACTGAATGAACTAATATGTATAAAAAGCTTAGAACATTGACTAGTATGTGATGGGCTTCCTAATAATTATACTCAGAATCATTGCAATTCAAAAAGTAAGGTATAAAACAAACCAGTATTGAATATAGATGACTTTGTATTTGTATATAACCAGATGTTTAACTTTTAAAACAGCTTATATAAGCCTCCATTGAGAAAATTAGCATTCAAAGATGTTTCTGTTTTATTTCACAAAGCAGAATTGCAAGATCATTTTGAATTTTATCTTTAAAAAAAACTAGAAATACATTGGAAAAATGTTTACAGAAACATAGAAAAGATATTTTTAATCATATGCATACTTCAAACCTAATTCTAATTAATAAGCTTGTTATGGATTTACTGAAAAAGGTATTCTATTGGTCAAGTTAATTTTTAGTTTAATAACTGAATTTATGATTGGATCCATTAATAAAACAAATTTTTTAGATTTCATACATTTATTCAAGTTTCTTAAAATATTCTTCCATACATACCTAGGAATGACACACATACACACTCACAAACATACATACATCACTGACACATACAGCTAAGACCTTATTAGAAGGTCTTTGGGAACATTACTGTAAGCTGAAACATAAATCTGTTAATTGTTCTTTCCTATTGGCAATATTAGGTAATGTTATGTATTAAATACATCATCAAGTAGTTTGAGGTGGGATGTATAATTACTGGTACACATTGTTCTTCATATATAAACAAACAAAAATAGAATATTTCAACTAAACAAGATGGAGGACACAGTGGTCTATATATGTTCATAATTAAGAATTTTAGCAAAAAACAAAGTTACGATATATAATATTTACAAGTAGATTTTGAATAAGTTATTGCCTTCCCAAATGTCTTTCACATGAACTTTCTCTACTTCAGTATTTTAATTATGATGCTTACTACAATAGAATAATGACTCTTAAAATATTTGTGTGTCTACATATGTATAATTTATCTAAAATAGAATAAAGACTCTTAAAATATTTGTGTGTCTACATATGTATAATTTATCTACTTTCTCAGAATTTTAAAAAGGAAAATATGCTTCACTTGGTTTAATAAGCAACAGCCTCACATTTCCTGTGGGTTCTTCTCTCCAATACTCTGAACTTTTAAATACTGCTGAAAAATATTAATATATATAATATAAATTTTAATAGCAAAATATGAATATTAAATAATTATATTAAATATTTACTTTCATTTTTAAAGCATGAATTCAGTAGATAAAACTATAACTGTCTGGTCCACTCTATTATAAGTGGTTTTAATATAGTATCCATGTTTCTTAACCATTCAGATGTCAAAAATAACTGCATCCCTCCCCAGTTAAAATTTTACACTTCTGCACACTTTGAACTAATAAAGGGGAAGCACAAGGTGCCTATGGGACCTCAGTTAAATGGAAAATAAATGGCACTACAGGGTAGCAATGGACCAGGTACTAATTCACTTAAAATTCTGTATCTTTTCATATGATTAAAATTTTGGCCATTGCTTCAAAAATATCCAGATGAATGTAGGTGAGTCAGGAGACTAATAACACAAATAATCTGTTTCGTAATCCATTAACATGACTTTGTATTTCCAAGTAAGTAAATATATATGTCTATGTTTCACAGACATGTATCTGAGGATATTAGGCATAGAATATATTAAACAATTTTTTTTTGTCATGCTGAAGAACCATGACAATGCAGAAGGCGACTTGAGCAATTTCCTTTATTCTTTCATTGGAATGATGACAGGCCATGACAAAGTAAAGTACTTCTAAAACTTTGGTGCTCTTCTAGAATCCATGATCATATCATGGCAAGATTCCTGTCCCTCAACCAGGAATTCCAAAAGAGCCACATAAATGCAATTGTATATCTATCTCCCCCGAGATATATTTGCCAAAATATACTTACCAAAAAAAATGAGAGTGAAATCATAGCTTCTGTGTTGTTTTTAAAAATAAACTATGAACTATTTAAGAAAAAAATTTAGAAACACAGCTCAAGGAGACCACTTATCCAAACCTGAGATCAATTCAAAACAAAGAAATCCCTGAATAGATTTCTAAACCTTAAGATTGGCACTTAATAAAATCACTAAAGTTTTTAAAAAATTGTTAAATATTTCTATTTGTTCCATTTCATAATAAAACATATAGGAATATGAACAGGAGAGAAGAGAAAAACAGCTACCACGTTAGCACACTAGTGGTATCATAGCTCATTAAAGAACTCCCAGTACTTAGTTAATTTAAATGTTTTATATAGTCTTTAATTTCAAGTCATTAAAAGATTGAGATGTACTTAAAGTTTCAACTAAATGCAGTGGATGTTACATGAGTGATATTAACACAAATTTCAGGGCATGGCAGAGGAGGTAAAAATATTTTTGAATAAATATTAGCTGAATCAGAGTAGTGGCTATAAAATAATGGATTATATTTCTATATATGTACATGTATTTATCTACATTTTGTACATACCATAACACTTTATGTGATTATATAACTGCATAAAATAGGCATAATATTATGGGCCAAAGAGATCAGTGTTAGTATATGTAAAATGTATTTCCTGAAAAATTGGTCTTATTGTGATAAATTAACATTCTTTTAATTTGTTTTTAAATTGGTTCATGGAAAGGAGAATAATTGTTGAAAATCTTGTTCTATAATTCAAAAGCAATTTCCATGAAGCATCTCTAGTGAAATTACAGAGAATCCTGATCCACATTACCGAAAAATCTAAACTGTCAGAATGCCATTGCACTCAAATAAAATTTTAACAACTGAAATTAAAAAGAAGAATAACAATAATAAGTTTCCTGGTCAATCTTAAATGCTAACAAAACTAGTGCCATCAACATAATAGCAGCTCTTTGCCTAAAGTATAGATGAATCTTTTCTGTGGTCATACAGAAACTGTTATTTACAATGATTTTTACATATTCACATATTTATAAATTTATAATTCATAGTCAGACATTAAAGGGGCAATGTGGACTTTACAAGAAAAATATTTTTAACGTGTCTAATAATGCATATCACATAAAGCAATTTCATTGCTTACTTTCAAGCATTGTGTACTTTCTCATACAATTTCAAACGTCCCTAAACTACACAGAAGAGCTATGCTATATTTAAATGTATAACAGGATATCTTCTGTTTCAATGTATAAATAAAGTGCACATTTTAAAACTAGGTGACAAAGAAGGTGTTACTGGAAGGGAATTAAAGAAATACATTTATTGGCTCATATAACAATTTTATTTTATTAAGGATTATGGGTTACCTTTTGAGAGGGAATTTTTAATGCCAAGACTGTCTTCTTGGCAAATTCCGTTAATAAGATGCATTTGTGACCTTGGTATTATACAATCATGCAAAACATATAATAGAATCACACTGAAACAAATAAAATTTAAAAAAATTAAATGAGGCAAAGGAATAGCAATTTTGTTGAGATTTTGCTTATTTCCACAGATATTCCTTTTATTGATTTTATGAACATACCTATTTATGCACTACACTCAAATACTGTACAAAACTGCAAGAAATGTCACTATTTGACTACTTATGTTTCTACAAAAACACCATTGTAAAGGTGCATCTAATAGTAAAAGTCAACTAATAACTGCTAATGTACATGTCAATCAAAAGTACTTGAGGTTTGCCAAAAACTTTGAATCTAGGAATATACACAATTTTTAAATTTTATTAGCATATTTCAGGGGTGTAAATAATATTTTAAAATATTAAAAGAAAAATGAATTTTACCCATTAATAGTAATTATATAAAATTAAAAATTGTGGTTTTTAATTTAGCTGTGTTTGTGTGTGTGTGTGTGTGTGTGTGCGTGTGTGTGTGTGTTTATGTTTGTGTATGTGAAATAATCCACAATCTATTGGTGATGTTTTAAAGTTGCAGTGTAAAAATGTTCAACACTTACCAAAATCTCTTCTGGTATACAAAGCTGTTGTAAACTTGAGTCAGCGAAATTTAAAGTTGCAATTTACAAAAGCAGATTTACATTAATTCTTAACTGAAAGAACTGCTTTCACAACAGAAAAATGTGCCAATTAACTGCCCTTTCCTTTATAATTAGTGGCTTCTGAGTCTTGAAAAGAAGCTTTAAGGCAGAATTTGCAGTAAACAGGAAAGAGGAGAATCATATAAGTGCTCATCGTAGTGTGGGACACCTATGAATTCTCATCTGCGGGAGTTTTTGGCACAATTTTCTAATCCAATATGCATGTTGCTCCACAGCAACCAAACTGGATGCTTTTTTCAGTGTCCAGCACCAATAAAATTTAGCTGATCAATTTCAATACAACACATACCTGGAAAGAGTAAGACACATTTATTTTCTTTTTTTTTTTTAATTAAGGTAGCTTCCAATGACTGAAATAAATTATAGGATTTCAATTATTAGTTTCAAATAAACTCTGAAGCTAAAAATGTAATGACCATGACATTCCAATAGTTATTAAATCATAGGCATAATTAACAACCTGTCGGGCGGACTCATAATTATTTGAATTTGTCATGCTGAAATATGTACATGGCTATAGATTCTATACAGAGTAATTAAAAGCTGATTTCAAATCTCTAGTTTTTCTTATATGTGCCAAGCTTCCAATTACATTAGCAGGCGTTCTGAGCACTCATGAAGGGAGATGATGTTGCAGATACAATGTTCCGTTACGTAGAAGAATTCATCTATGAATGACAATGTTGTCTTCCATCATAACTAAGCAACAGTAGAAAATACCCCTACTTAAGAGCTAATCCATAAGGGTCCATAAAGGGTTGTACAGGATTCCCATTTTCATCTCTATTAGAAGGATAGGAAATAAATCAGGTCATCTGAAATTCACTTAAAATTAGGTCCAAGGGTAAATCTTGGAAAAAGGCAATGACTCTTTTGGCATGGAGTGCTTTCTGTCTGCAGTTCCATGAGATAGCAAATGCATGTCTCCATTAAAGGTCTACTGGTAAGCTGTATCACTATATACATACTGTACATGTTGGCTCACAAATTAGCAGTTATTAGTCAGACTGTACATAGCAAAACAAACAAAATTTAATGTTGCTATACATCCCAAAGATAATATGGGTCTCGATTCAAGGACTGACCCCTAATACAGGTTCTCTGTTTAAATATGTAGCCCAATAAACTAAATTAAATGTACCAAACAAAACTGGAAAAACTATTCTGGACATTCTGTCAATTTTGCTAACACTGTTAAAAGTTTTCTTGGCTTCAGCTGGCTTGTTTTCCGGCTTCTTGTTGGGTTCTGGCGTGGTTGCGCTCTTGGAGATGGTGGAGAGAACTGGATCTTTTGAAAGATTCGGGGCATAATTGGCAACAGCCACTGCATAAGCATTGTTCTGTATCATAACAGAGGCCTTTTCTTTTTTCTATTGAAAAATACAAAAAATTAAGAGAGTGTGGGTTGAGTCTGCTACATAACATTTTCAAAAGTCCACTTCAAATTCTGAAGGAAAGTATCCTAATACAAATCATGATGCTTTCAAAAAAAAAAAAAAAAACAGAAATTGGGAAAATAAATAAATGTGCTTATTAAATCCCAAATCCATTACGGTGAGAAAACCCCCAGAGTAAAATTAATGGTACCACTTTCCTGGAAAATCTTGTTGTGGTTGACATGGAAAATAAACAATAGAAAAATACAACCTTAAAAAACAATATAAAGACAGGGCGTGGTAGTTCACGCCTGTAATCCTAACACTTTGTGAGGCCAAGGTGGACAGATCACCTGAGGTCGGGTGTTTGAGACCAGCCTGACCAACATACAGAAACCCCATTTCTACTAAAATACAAAATGAGCAAGTTGTGTTGGCACATGCCCCTAATCTCAGCTCTTCAGGTGGCTGAGGCAGGAGAATTGCTTTAACCTGGGAGGCGGAAATTGCAGTAAGCCAATATCACAACATTACACTCCAGCCTGGGCAACAAGAGCAAAACTCTGTCTCAAAAAATAGTAAATAAATCAAATAATAAATCAAATAATAAAACAATGTAACTTTTTTTTTACTCATGAGTCACTCAAATATTTGTCAAATGAATGATTGAATGAATAAGTGAAATGTAGAAATATTTTAACAAGAGGAATGATAATCTACAATGAATGATCCCACATTCGTAGCTTCGAAACAGGGTTCCCTCCCACCTCATGTCAAAATCATACAGCAATGCTTTACTCAGATGATGGGAAACTGTAACCTTATAAAGATGGCAGTGCAACAAATACTAGAAACACAGAAGGAGAATAAAATACAAACTCTTGGATTTTTGCTTAGCTCATCCGTTTCTCTTTATAATCTCCAGTTCAGTTATCACAAACTCTTGTTCAGTTATCACAAACTCTTGTTTATGTCACTGTTATCTCCTGCCTGGACTTTGTGTTCTTCTAGTTTGGCTTGAGTTTGTTCAATCATTAGACACATTATGGTCACAGGGATCTTTTTTAAGACAAAAATTGGATCATTTAGCTTCTATGCTTACATCCCTTAAATACTATTTTATGGAATTTAGAATTGAAACAACATTTTTTTAAAATCGCGGCTTCTTTCTTTTGCTCATTACACACTGGTTCCCCTGAAATAACCTTAGTTTTCAAAATATTTTCTTGCTTTCATGCCATGTTTTTCGCCATGATAGTTCCCCAGCCCAAAACACCTCAATTTTGAAAACCTGGAATACCTTCTCCCCATTCCACTTTTCACATGACCACCAATTCCTTCTCTCATTTTGGTCTTGGTTCAAATGCCATTTCCTAAAAACGGACTTTCTTGAGGACGCTCTAACTAAACATATATTTGGTCCCCATATATTCTCATTCATAACAGCCTGTTTCCATTTTGACACTTTTCAAAATGTGTTATTTCTTAGTCATGTGATTATTTGATTGACATCTTGCTTTCTCTTTCAACGAAGTCTCGTGCTGCTTCTGTCTTGTTTATCTTTGTAATCTTAGCACTTAGCATGAAGCCTTCTACAAGGTAGCCACATCAGTGAATTAATATATAATTCATTTAATAAAATGAAAATATAAACAGTATTTGTGTTTCTTTACTAATACAAATATATTGTTAGTTATCTAAATGCAATGTAAATTCAGACAGCAGTGAATTATCCAACATAATGAGTAGTGTGTAAAGAAACTGAGATAGAAGAAAAATTGTTCTACAATAAAATTTTAACTCTTAGTTATTTTAATTAATATTTCTTAACATGTTCAAATAAGTTAAGAAAGGAACTCTGAAAGCCCAAGAGAATCTAAAAACAGTCATGGATTACTCATCTTTCACTGTGTTGGGTTTCTCCCTCTCCTCTTTACCCTGCTGACATTCTTCCAGATCTAGCTTAATTATGAAAAAAGGAGGGAGGTGGGATCACCATTTGTAAATTTATAAACGCTACAGAACATCTCTTCTTCAGTAATGATGCATATAGTTCCCATGTTACAAATGGAGGATAATCCCCAAGTCAAAGACTGATAAGGAAATTACAGCTAACACTTTTGAGCACTAGAATGTGTCAGGTTAATTGTTAGCCGAGGTGAAATCTCACTGTGAGATAGGAATTAAATTCCCTTATTAATCCCATGATATAAGTTCAAAAATGAATGCTAAAAAAGTTTTGTGACTTGATCGGTCTCCTACCTATTACAGGGCTGAAAAAGGACTCAAACTTAGATGTATCTGACTTCTAAACCTCTTCTTTTAAACATCATGTCATGTGACTTTCTGTCTGAGGAAGCTGTTTGAGACTTGGGAATATGCTTTTTCCTAAAATATGGTTGTTGAGTTTTATACTACTAGATCAATCTTCAAAAATGACTTTTTAACTTATAATGCATATAAGTTACAATTTGTAATTTATATAATGTTACAACTGGTCCCATGTGGTTCAAATAATAACATAATGTTTTTTTTTTTCTAATGCATGTGTTTATGTTATTATTTGAACCAAATTGTAACATCATTTAAAATGGTATCAAATTGCACATATAAAGAATCTGGGCCTTGAGAAAGTTTCTTAATGTTTTTCTTCAGCTGCTAACTTGACAAAGGAAGATAAGGATACTAAAGTTGTATCAAACTGTCCTGATGAACAAATGGACAAATGTATTATTCTAACCACATTGAGAAACATGTATTTTCCTAGTGGAGTGCAAATCATAACTATTACAAACCAGACAGTGATTACTGGTGTACAAGATGTAAAGGCAATATAATTTATTACGTGATAGGTAGAAGAAGACAAATATTTTGTTGAAGATCTCAAGGAGAGTTTTGTGAAAGTAGGACATTTATGTTGGATGAGGAACTATGGTGTAGAATTTAGACATGTAGACAAAGAAACACAAAATGTAAATGTCTTTTGTTGTAACAGGAGTCTACAGCTAGAAGCGCTGTATTAATTTTAAACAACATATTCCTGCCCCTACTTGAATATCCTCCAATTACACATATATGTCCAGTAAATACAGGTACAAAATCTTTGAAAAACTCTAGAGCAGAGGGAATAACTAATCTGAACAGATACTCTAACCAATCAGAACTGACGTTGGCTGTAAATAACCAGAAGCAGCACATACCAGCCAAATATCCACCCTGCATATTTGTATGTTGGCATTTTTTGTTCCATGCTAACACTAAGGATTCTTTAATAAACAGGGTTAAAACTCTTTCCAAGTTATGCTTGTAATATTTATTGACAGCATAAATAACAAAATTTGTCTTATTTTCTTCATTGTTTAAAGTATGGCTTCAATCTCTGAATCAGTGTAAACGTCAGAATAGGGCTCAGAACTTAACAAGGTAGTGGTTTTGGCTTCAAAAATGCTCTCTTGTGACTTGGAAACTACCATTTTCAGGACCAAGTAAGCAAAATATAACAGCTATAAGTGCTATTTTCAGTTAATAACCTAGTTGTTGGCACCTGTAATTTCTTACCAATTCACTGAATGAAGGGCAGGGCATTCCTATGGTGCTAAATCTTCTCAATTCCTAGCCACAACTCAGCAAAGCTTTTCTGGCTCAGAATTTTACAAAGTCTCATTTTAAAGGGGAAAATAACTTCCTCAGTCTATTTGAAAGTAATAACTACAAATCTATAGTAAAGCAAATTGTTTCGCTTTGTTTAAAATTAAAACCGTGTTTATGGAGAAAAAATACTGTTGAATTCGTAGCTGACTTACAATTCTAAGATCTTCTAAAGAAGAGCCTAAAGATTAAGCCTATACACTACATATCATTAATATTCTTTTTGAGATACAGATTTGATAGTGATAGTACCAAAGAATAAGCATAGCTTACCTAAATTATAACCAGGAGATATTACATTGCCTTATTCACTATCAACTTCTATTAAAAATAACTATGTTGGGAGAAAATTTCACTATAGAGCCCTCTTTGAATATCATGCAGCTTTGGATCAAGCCAGACCACCAGCAGGCTGAATCCTTGGGCCACTTTACTGATTTTACTTTATTTAGTGTAACTTTTAGCTTACACTCAGAACCTAAAGAGAAATAACCCAATGAAACCTTTTGTGTTAATGATTAAAAACAATACTCATTTCCATGAGTGAATTTTTTTTCCCATTTATTTATTTTATTGCATTTTAGGTTTTGGGGTACATGTGAAGAACATGCAAAATTGTTGTATAGTTACACACGTGGCAGTGTGATTTGCTGCCTTCCTCTGCATCACCTACATCTGAACATGAACATTAAAAAATTCACTCATGGATTTGATGGCTGCATAATATACGCTATGGAATATTATGCAGCCATCAAATCCATGAGTGAATTTTTTAATGTTCGTGTTCCTATACAAATTTTTTTGTTTCTTTTGATAACTAGAAAAATTCTGATAGTTCGTACAGCCTAATTTCCTATTGCCTAATCTAATGCTGTATTTTTACTTTAAGGCACCTAGATAAGCCACTTCCTATCATTTTCAGAATAAGGCCAGGTATAGCCAAAAATATACACATAGAAACACTGTGTTTCTGAAGTCATTTCTTTAAAAAAGGTAATGTTAAAAGTTGAGAATGAGATCAGTTGAAAGGAGACTGGGGGAGAGGAGGGCAAATTAACACTATTTTCTATTAATTGTCAGTAATTCTCACGGCTTTAGATACCTATGCATGAATGACTGATACAGTATTTCTCCAGAATTCTTAATCAATAAGTTTCACTAGACTTCTCTACCTGCATATCCCACAGGTAATTAAAACACAAATGTCTGGAAATGCACTCAGCTTCCATGAACTCTCACTTCCTGCAGAAATCTGTACACTCACTCGTACTTCCTAACCTGCAACTGGTAACACAATTCAGCCAAAGGTGGTAGTTAACTCCATATTGTCCCTTGGTTTCCTCCTTACCATTACCAGGCTAACACTGACTTAGCTTTGAGTCACACCACTGAGACAACACTTTCTACTGCCTGCACTTAGTTGCCATTTCATGCCTTTCAGCAGGATCGCGGTGCTTATGACTAAAATGAAACATGTATGTATCTCTTTCACTCTTCTTTTGTTTTCCTTTCACTTCATTGTTAGCTCTATGAAGACACAGACTGCGTACTACAGAGCCCTAACATGCTTCCTGGCTTAGAGCAGGCTCGAAAACATTTGCTTAATGATAAATGAGTGGCATGTAACCAAAATGCTTACTATGATAAAAATGTATATACAACATATAAAGCATAACTTAAGGTAATATGTTTCATAAACTGTAATAAATACTTTATCAATCAGTAGATACATAATTTAATAGCTTATTCTACAATTCTGTTATGTAAGCTTCCTGGATGTCTTCAATTTTACCATCTACAGATGTGTACACTGGTAAATAATAAAACAGGCTCAATTTTAAAAAAAGCAATGCTTGTAGAAGCCGTTTTGTGATTTAGATCTCATTAGAATGTAAAGGTTTAATTTCTAAACAAAGTAAAAAATATGTATTTTTATATACTGTCTGGGTGGGGGAAGAATAAACTATGCTGTTATATAGTTTGTTGACTGTTCAGCTGTCAATGAAGTGCAATAAAAAGGAAATATAATCCACACAAATTGATTTTCCATTTTTAAATGATGTTTAATAGACAACATATTTTGAGGGTATTACTTTACTGAGGTCTTTTGGATATATATTTAAAATATCGAGTCTAGAAAAACCCAGGTAACAGAAATTAAAATGTCTTACACCATGGTGTCAGAACAATGTTGACTTCCTATGAGTGGTAGAGAAAATAATTTGCTAATAACTTCAGCTGATGTTCTAGCTAATATACCTATGAGTAAAGTGACCTCGTATTTGAGTGAAAATAATAATTACATGGTTTGTAATCAGAAAGAATCTTAGTGACTGTTCCTTACAATAAAGAAATGGGACTTTCATTCAAATATTGAATATAACAGGTTTTGGAGGAAAAAAACAAAACAAAACAGGTCTCCAAAGTGCAAATCTATACTTTTTCTATCACACCATGTTGCCTTTTTACAGTTATTGTGGCTACTAGAAAGCCCATTACTTGTAAAATAACAACATGCTCATTGGTCAGATAATGCTATTGTTAACTGTCTACTAATCATCCTGACTGAGAAAAGTGATACTTACAGAAGATTGTTTGAAGGTTAAACAGTCCATCCACTTCTCTAAGTACTCTAAAGTCTTTTCTTGGAATAAATTGGGCCATGAGAAAGCTATATACTTGGACCATATTAGCTTAGCTCCTTGAAGAATTGCTTTCACTGAGTTGTATGTTAATGTAATGCCTTCAGCTTTTATTGAAGGGGACTACAAGAAACATCAATATGAAATCCATTATTGCGTTTATTGGGAAAAATTTGACATCACTTGCTACAGTACCCAGCTTCCCCTAATTAAAAAAAATAAAAAAGCCAACATGACATTTTGTTTTTTCAAAAGGCAATTTCAGTGTAAGGAAAAGTTTTTTTCTGAGAAAAGGTATATATCCAAAGAAAAATAACTCTTCCCTCCCCTAAGGGGTTACTTTGGTCACCAAGAAGGCAAGAATTTGAAGCTCCACTACTATTGCTATGGAGTGCAGCTAATGTGCTGGCCCAAAGATGAATGTATTTGAGTCTATTTTCTTTCATCTTGATTTTCTAATTTTATATCTATTTTATTTAATTATAATTTAAGTGCATGAATTCTTTTGATAAACTGCCTGAAATACTTTTGGAACAAGTCAGGATATTATAAATGCAAATAATTAAATAAATACACTTGAAAATGTGATGTTTTCCATGAATTAAATAAAATGACTCACAAAATAATGGCACATTCCATTATAGTTGGGATATTTTGTTGCTACGTCTATGTTTTGAGTAATTTATTATCTAGCCAGTTTGGACTCACTGACTATACTTTCTTAGCAAGTTTGGACTCAGTGACTCAGATTTAGAATTGAAAACCATCTCAAGGAATTAAAGTAAATATATTTTTTATCAACTCAATAAGCTATGTACTAAATGCTGTGCTAAGTAACAGCATATACAGTGACAAATAAGGCAAAATATTACCCACTCAGATCTTTTAAACCAGTGCAAGAAACAGATTTATTTACAGTAAAACTGTAATGTATTGAGACATTGTAAAAATAATTTGTACCAGGTGGTGTCAAAATACAATCTGGGGGTTGAGAGAAGTCAAAAACATTAGTCTGGAAAGTTTTCATATTATATAAAATCAGATTGATCTTAAAAAACAATAGGAATTTGTCAGCAAAAGAAGAAGAGGTATTATTGCAAGACGGGTGGTAGGTCTAATGCTATGGAGCTGTGCAGAAGCATGGATGTTTGGGGAAATGATGGTGGCTAACAATGGTTAGAGAAAGAATATGATTATGAAACTTAGACCTATCTTAAGTCCTATTAGATATGTGATCCCCACCAGGTAACTTTATTGACCAATTCTCATTTATAAAACAGAAATATTCCCAGACATATAGAAGCACGTAATAACAAAAAATTATTCCTTATTATTCATCATATAAGCAAATATAAGAGAAACTATAACACTTTGAATATTTGCCTTTAATAATTCATTAAAGAACTGAAGAGTAAAATGATCTATGTTTTAGAATAATTCTGACTGTCATAACGCAGAGATGGATAAGAAAAAGACATGATTAGAGTTAGAGAGGAGTTAAAAAAACTGTAAAAATTATGAGAGATGGTGGAGATGTGGTCTAAGGTATGTAGGGAGAATAATGGACAAGATTTAATGGCTGACTAGATATTGAGAAATACTTCCAAGTTGTGGCTTATAAGATTAGGTTGTGACATTAACTGAGGTACCAACTGCTGATGAATAACTGAATATGGGCAGTGGAAAGATAGAACATCAATTTAGGAGACTGTATTGTCTTTGCTTGTGTTATTTCTTTAATCCTTTATAAAACAGATATTGTCATATTCAGGTTGAGATTGAGAATGATTGATTATATTCAGGTAAAAATGTTCCAGAAACAGGTTAGATACATGATCTTGTAAGTTAAAAGGTGCAGTATACTTACTGATAATGACCTTGAACAGTAAAATAAAGGCATGGGTTTTAAATTTTAGTTTTGTAATATCTCATTAACTCATACCACATTTACTGAGCACCTAATACATGAAAGGGTCCATACAAAATGCCTTGGACATTTATTACTAAAGAAGGGATTTATTAAACAAATATGGTCATTGTTACAACCAGTGAAGAGTTGAGACAGAAACATGCAATATACAACTACAATAAGGGCTCTAATGCAAAAGAACAGAATTCTGTATACACTTATAATTCAGACCTAATCATTTATAAAGGCAGAGGATGGCTCAAAATTTTCCTGAGGAATAGATGTTTGTGCTGAGGATGGCAAATAGGGGGACAGTATGCTTAGTGTTGCAGATATTCATGCAAACATGGTCAGTAAAACCCTTAAAGTGAGAATCACACAGTGAATACTGAAAACAAAAACTGCATTAAAGAAAATAGAATTGACTGTCTTTAGGGATAAACAAGAACAGATGCCAGGGAAGCTAGGTCCAGTCTGAACTCTGGCAGAGAATCAAAAAACATAAAATGAATACTGGCAGCTGCCAGGATGTGAGCAAAGATAGCTGATACTCTGAAGCTTGATTTCAGAAAGAAAAGAAGAGAAAAAGTTGCTGAGCTGGGTCTGAAGTAAGATTCTGGAGCATAACAGTAAAAAGGTTTAATGGGGATTCTCTGAGAAAAATAGAAAAAATATCAGATCTTAAAATATAAGGTTATTTGTGCCCTTCAGCTACAAAATGGTAAGTGAAAAGGAAATTAGATTATAGTGGGTCCGGATTAAGGTGAAAGTGATAAGATAACATGTTTTTAAAAAGCTTGAATATAGAACAGAGGGTAGAATCTGAGGATATGGAAAGAAAGTGGAATAGGATTGGAAAAAATTTTCCTCAGTAAATTAAGCATATTAAGCATTTTCATAAGCTGAAAGAAAGGAGGCATTGAAAAGAATAAGATAGCTTTTGAGACATAAGAAACAATAACTAATGAGAAGGTTTGAGAAAGCAACAAGAATGAAAGAGATCAAATCAAGGGCTGGGGTGAAAGAATTTGTATTGAGCAGAAAGAGGAAAGGAGGAACATTGGATAGGAAGAAAAGTTCCATAGGAGCCTGGGGTTGCATAAATAGATGCTTTTGTATATGAAAAGGCATAAAAATTTGGAGGTGGATAATCTGATCCAGTACTGCATTTTTCTAATAATAAGGTTTTCTCACCTAATTTCACAACTGATGCTAAAAGTAGTGTAAAGTCCTGCCCAAGTTCACAGAGCAAGGTAGCTTTGCTGTTAACATAGGGCTCAAACGTAGCTTGAATATAACCGAGAGTATTTATTTATTTATTTGCAAAAACTAAATTTAAGTATCAGTGCACATTCTAAATGTAATATGTTGACTGTGTAATCCACATGTAGACAGGTTAAAGGCCTATGTCTTTTTCTTAAAACATACAATATCAATAAGTAGCTGAATCATTATACTTATGCGGCAAATTGATGCTTGGTATTTTATGAATTTTCAAATAACTTTTCATGTGCTTGTTTGATTGACAGATAACTACATTTGCTCATGTTTACTAATGGCAAAACAAAGGGCCTTCCATAAGCCCGGTTAATCAGAAAGGACACTGAAATCAGCCTGTGGATAAAAACTTTCTATTTAAAGAAAATTATAATTTTCTACTTAAAATTAAGTCTAAGGAATATTAAGGTGAAAGTATATTACACTGAAATATCTTTTAGACAGATAAGCTATTTTAATGCAATCTTCTTGATTTCCTTTTAGTTTTAAGGAGTTTTTAGTTCTTATACCTAAGGTAATTTATGAAACAACTCTCAAAACTCATCTGAATTATGAAATTGGATAGAGTATCCATTGGTAAATTTATTATAAGCTTTTTAAAAAGATTTCCATGAAGGCAAAGAAGTTTTCTCACTAGTATTACATTTTGAGATTTAAGATCAGACACTCATTTATTCTTTCACACATTAAATATTTCTAAAATGCCTGCTAAGGACCAGGCACTGTGCTGGGCACTCTAGCTATGGAAAAGTATACGAGAACAAGCAGTGTCTGATATATGGTTCTCCTGAACTAAACCAAGCTAACATACACAATGTTAGCTCTTTTCCTGAAAATTAGGTTGGGATCTCAGTGATTTTGACATAAATTTTTCCTGGCTATGTGTAATTTGGCATATGGGTAGACTTAAATCCACTATTCATGAGTAGTAAGTTATTGTTTTTATAAAATATTATCAATTATTTGTTTTTCACATTTAGAGGTACTTCTGTTTTCCAATGTCAAGAGTTGAGAAGGCATATCATTTCATAATGTTAATTTGGCACTCTCTAATATTAAAATAATATATCAATACATTTATATATGGGAATTCATGGCACAAAGCATTTATCTTTTGTGACTTATTTACAAATATTTAATATTTTAGCCCCCCAAAATTAGCATGAAAGTGGATGTATAATCAATATAGCTTAAAAAATAATTGCATAGATACCATGAAAAAGCAGTATACTATATGGGCAATGAAAACATAAATCAACATTAAAATGTAATAGAAATGCTGAAACAGCCCAAAAGTTAAGCATATAAAATTGATAATATTCCTTTCCATATTTATTTGTTGGCTCTGTTAGTAGGCAAAACACAACTTATAAAATTAAATGAACCATCAGTTTCATTAAAATTTCTATGGCTCACAAAATTAAGGAAAAAGAGAAAGACTTTTAAACTATAACATTTACGGCTTGTATGTTTAAACTGTGATATAGTCATAGAAATGAAAAATATTATATTCAAATAACTGAGAAAAAAATCAAATCTGTAAGTAAGTTATTCCAAATGAAATAAAAGAAGCATTTAGGTGAATACAATGTTAAAGAAATTATCTGAATACAACATTTTACTAATAAGAATGTAGATCATTATGATACATTCAAAGACTCCTCTTAAGGCAGATAAATAATCTATAGAGTATGAAAGGAAGCAGCTGTTACATCATTCCACAAATCTCCCATTAGATTCAGTACTTGAAACCTAGTACAGCAATAATCTCAAAAGAAGTTATTCTTAAGAACAAATAACTTTTACCTTTTAGACTGTATGAGCAACGTAAAATTTTTAGGCATTCCAGCACCCACAAATTTATTCCATACAATATGGAGAGATAAAAAATGCTATACGGCCTTTTACAATCAATCAACAGAGACTGGAACAGGTGAAGAGGATTCAAACCATTGCTAGAGCCTGGAATTTTATTATAGCTAAAATAAATGCCCATTTTCTTTTTCCAATCTCTTTATAATAATGTAGTGTGGTGCTAAAACTATAAACTCAATCGTCAGACAGGCAGATCTGGGTTCAAGTACACCTACTAACAAGTTGTGTGAGCTTGGGCAAGTAAATAACTTTACTGTTTTGCTTATTCATCAGTAAAAATGAGAATTAAGAAGACAGTCTAGTAATAAGGATGCTATAAAGATTTTGTGAGAGAGCATACGTAAAACACTTAGCACAGTGCCTGACACATAGAGCTCAACAGATGCTACAGAGTGGTGTTAATGGAAGGATTACTACTGCAAGCACTCCTAAAGGGTTTCAGGCAAGAACACTTTAAAAGAAATTGATATGATTCTAGCTCATATATAGATAGATAGATATCTTTAATGTCAGTTTTTAGAAACATATCTGTTACAAGCTGAATTCATTAGGGGATTTTCTTAATAATGATAACATGGAAGTTCTCACTTACCTTGTCATTTACTACACTCTTCCCATCCCAAGCCCATCCTCTTTTGGTGAAGTAATTAACAGTTGCAAACTCAATTAGGGCAGAGAACACAAATGCATAACAAACAGCAATAAACCAGTCCATGGCAGTCGCATAAGCCACTTTGGGGAGAGAATTCCGAGCACTGATGCTTAGAGTTGTCATTGTTAGGACAGTTGTTACTCCTGCAAAAGAAAAGACGGGAACTGAAAACATCAATAGGTACTAGCAGGACAGCATGGGAAGTAGTTTTTATTCTCCCTCTATTCCCAATATTTTTGCTACTTTTATCCACTAAAAAATAATAAATAAATCAATAAATACTAGAATACAGTGTAAAGTCAATTATCTTAAATGGTTATAATATTTCTTGAAGCAATGACTCTGAAAATGCTTTTGGTTTCCATTTTTGTATTAAAAAAATCCCTTTTCCTCTAAGTACTAATGAGGTTAAAATAACTGGGGATACGGATGTAGAATTATCTACAAGGAAAAGCAGGCATGTTAAATGGGTCCATTGCCAAACAACATTAATTTTTTTAAATATTATAAAAGCTTCACATTAATTTGTTCATCATTTATTTGAATCATGTTAAGCCATGGACCAATAATCCACAGAAGTGATCATGAAGAAACTGTGATTTAAAAATACTTCAAGCATGGCTATTTAAGTATGAAATTAATTCTGGATTACCAGGACATTATGAGGACATAATTATCTTTTATAACATAACTTAGAATCTTTAAAATATAAAGCAAGCCACTAAAAACAAAACATCATAAAATATAATTCATTATTTCATAATTTTCTTTGTTTAAAAAGAATGCATTTCTTTTCCTTTTAACATACAGCTTTTCTGACAGTGGTAAGGGAAGCCACAATTGTTAAGAGAAAAGAAGGCCATAATTCAGGAGATAAATTGCATTATAAGTCCTCAAAATGGCTACAATAGCCTGCTTTATCTGGGATTCAATATAAGTTTAATTATGTGCACTGGAGGTACATTAAATTAAAAGAAAATATGAAAATATTAAAGAAATGTTCATTTCTATTTGAAGGTTCTTTCTATTTTATTTTCCTTTAGGATAAATCAGTATTTTTATTCATTTAGAGTGCAGTTAGTAATTAAAAATATCAATAATTCTAGTAAATCATGAATGAATGCCTCCAAAAATACCATACGATAATAATGGTAAAAACGAAGCCAAAAAAGGAACTTTACTTCACCGGCAAGCTATTAAAATCAGCATTTACAGAAACATACTGTGTTTGCACATGCTAAGTTGTGAAAGGTTTTAAATTGATATGCTGCTCTTCGTTGAGATTTTTGTACAAAAGAGTAGAATATAAGACAGATATACATATGTACATACACACACACACACACACGTATACACACACACACACACACACACACAATATAGGAAATAAAAATAACAAATCAACAGCAGCAGTAAAGAAATACAAACCAAACAATAAGATACATTTTAAAAGCAAGAGTATCATCAAAATGTTACCAAAACTTTAAAAATTTGATACTCTCCTTGTATTTAGGATGATATGGAGTATTACAAATCGGTGTCATAGCTAAGAAACTGTTGTCTAATTGAGGGTCATGAAGATTAAGGCCTACGTTTCTTTATGCGTTTTACAGTTTGAGGTATTACTAGTGCGCCTTTAGTTCATTTTTGTGTGAGGGTGTAAGGTAGACATCCAAATTCATTCTTTTGCACCTAGATAGCCAGTTGTCCCAGCACCATTTGTTAAAAAGACTTTTGTTTCCCCATTAAATTATCTTGCACACTTTGTTGAGAACCAATTGACCATAGATATGTGGGTTCAATCTCTGTACTCCAAATTTTATACCATTGATCTACATATTTATCCTTAGTCAAGTTTCACACTGTTTTGATGACTATAGCTTTAGAGTAACTTGAAATCAAGAAGCTTGAGTCTCCTCTTACTCTTATTCATCATTCTTCGTCTTTTTCAAGATGGTTTTGGCTATTCAGGGTCCCTTACATTTCCATATGTTGTTATGGCCATTTTGTTCATTTTTGCAAAAGAAGTCATTGGAATTTTGATAGGTATTTCATTGAATCTGCACATGCTATTTGGTAGTAATACCATTTTAATCATGTTAAGGCTTTCAATCTTTGGACATAGGATATATTTCCACTAGGTCTCTCTCTCTCTCTCTCTCTCTCTCTCTCTCTCTCTCTAACATAAACATTTCCATTTGTTTAGGGCTACTTTAATTTCATGCAGCAATATTCTATAGTTTTTAGTGTATACATCTTTCATCTCCTTGGTTACATTTATTTATAGATACTGTAATTGTTTGCATGCTAATGTCAATGGATTTTCTTAACTTTCTGTTCAGATTGTTCATTGCTTTTGTACAAAAACACAACTGACTTTTTGTATGTTGGCTTTGTAGCCTAAATCTTTGCTGAATTTGTTTAATAGATGTAACAAATTTGATGTGGTTTATTAAGGATCTTCTATAAATAAAATCATGCCATCTGCAAGTAGAGTTTTACTTCTTCCTTTCCAATTTGTATATTTTTATTTTTATTGCCTAATTGCCCTAGCTAGAAATTGTAGTATAATGTTGAATAGAATTGGTGAGAGCAGACATCTGTGTCTTATTTCTGATGTTAGGGAGAAAGTTTAATCCTTCACCTATAAGTATGATTGCATTTTTATTTTTTTCCTTTTCCATAAATATGTTGTATTATATTTGTTTGATTTTTTTATGCTGAACCAACTTTGCATTCCTGGAATAAATCTCACTTTATCATGTAGTTGATTTTAGTTTGCTATTATTTTATTGAGGGCATCTGCATCTATATCTGTAAGGAATATGGATCTCTAGGTTTTTTATTGTGATTTGCTTCTCTATTTTGGCATCTTGGTAATATAGCCTTATAAAACGAGTCAGGAATATGTTTCCTTCTCATCCATTTTTTGGAAGATTTTGAGAAAGATTTTTGTTAATTCTTTATATGTTTGGTAGAATTCACCAGTGAAGCCATTTGACCTTGAGGTTTTCTTGACTGAATGTTTTTTTTTTTTTTGTTTACTAAATTCATAGCTTTATTTATTATAGGCTTATTCAGAATCTTGAGTCAATTTTGGTCATTTGTAGTTTTAGGAATTGTTATATTTAATTTAGATTATCTAAATTTTTGACATAACAATTGTTCCCAGAGTTATTTTACACACACACACACACACACACACACACACATATTTATGTCTCCCTAACATATATGTATATATTTTACCCAGGCTGAAGCACAGTAATATGATCTTAGTTCGGGGCAACCTCCACCTCCTGGGTTCAAATGATTCTTGTGCCTCAGACTCCCAGGTAGCTGGGTATACAGGAGCACACTGCTATGCTCAGCTAATTTTTGTATTTTTAGTAAAGACAGGGTTTTGTCATATTTGCCTGGCTGGTCTCAAACTCCTGGCCTCAAGTGAGTGATCTGCCCGCCTAAGCCTCCCAAAGTGCTGGGATTATAGGCGTGACCCTGGTCACTATATATATATTCTCTAACTGATACATATACATATGTAATTCTATATATGTATATGTAACATATATATGTATGTAACACATATATATTTATATGTTCTCTGATACATATGTAGAATTACATATATATATATATATTCTCTAACTGATACATATATAGAATTACATATATAATTTATCTATGGTCAGAAGTGATATCCCATCTGCTTTCTTGATTTTAGCAATTTAATTTTTTTCTCTTTTTTTTCTTGGTCATTGTAGCTAAAAGTAAGTCAATATTATTGATCTGTTAAAAAGCCAACTTACAGTTGTGTGGTAATTTTTTCTATTGTTATTTCTGTTTTCTCTACAATTTATCTCTAACACGTATTTTTCTTCCTCTTGCTTTGGATTTAGTTTTCTCTTTTCTGCTTTTCAAAGAGGATGGCTAAGTTTTAGATTTGAGAATTATTTTTTCTCTTTTTAACATAAGTGGTTAGGAATACAAATTTCTCTGTAAGAACCGACTTTTGTTATTTTCCATTAAGTCACATTATTTTTTTCTTTTCATTCATATTAAAGTATTTTCTAATACCGCTTGTGATTTCTTCTTTGATTCCATGGTAATTTAGAAATGTATTGCTTAATGTTTATATATCTGTACATTTTCTTAAAAATTCTATTCCATTTTAGTGTTAAGAACATACTTTGTAATAATTCAATCTTTGAATTTATTGAGACTCGGTTAATGGTCTAATGCATTATCTTCCTAGAGAATGTTCATGTCCATTTGAGAAATATGTGCATTCTGTTTTTTATGGGTGGAGTATGTTAGGTCTAGTTGGTGTATTCTTTATTCAAATCTTCTAATTTTTGCTGATATTCTGTCTAGTTATATTCTTCTTTTTTTAAAATTTGAGATGGAGTCTTGCTCTGTCACCCAAGCTGAAGTGCAGTGGTGCGATCTCAGCTAACTGCAACCTCTACCTAGTAGGTTCAAGTAATTCTTCTGCCACAGTCTTCTGAGTAGCTGGGATTACAGGTTGTCATCACCATGCCCAGCTAATTTTTTTTCTTTTCTTTTCTTTTCTTTTTTCTTTTTTTTTTTTTTTTTGTATTTTTTAATAGAGACGGGGTTTCACCATGTTGGCTAGGATGATAATGAACTGCTGACCTCAGGTGGTCCACTGCCTCAGCCTCCAAACTGCTGGGATTACAGGTGTGAGCCATCGTGCCTGGCCTAGTTACATTCATTTTTTTTAAGGTGGGACACTGAACTCTTCAACTAATATTTTTGAATCATTAATTTCTCCCTTCAATTTTTTCACTTTATAATTCACATATTTTAGAAATCTTTTATTACATGTATAGTTACAATTTTTACATATTCTTGATGAATTGATTCTTTTGTCATTATATAATGTTTATAATTTTTATATATTCTTGATGAATTCATTCTTTTGTCATTATATAATATCATTTGTCTTTTGAAGCCTTCATTTCTTATTATTTATCCTTTCTGTTATAAATGTAGCCAATCTAGATCTCTTTGGCTGCTGTTTGTATGGAATATGCTTTTCCATCCTTTTACTTTCAATTAATATGTGTTTTAGAATCTAAAGGGATTTTCTTGTAAACAACATATAGTTAAATCATATTTT